GGCAATTGTTCTGTTGATTTCACATTTCTTGATAAGCCATCACGAGCACCGCGATAGGCGCACGTCTAGCTTGGCTTTATTCACAACAACAACAAAAAAGAGTTAAAATTATATGGCCGTGTCTCTCGCTCTCAATATCAGCATTGTTGTTGTTGTTGTTGTTGTAGCTGACGCTGTAATTAGGCCAATGGCAATTGTTGCCGGGCTTTGCGTGATTTTGGCAAATTGTAATCTCTCCAACTGAATTCTAGAAATACGTATTGTGTTCGCCTTGTCTGCCCCATTTTGATTTATATTTTAGCTTTTACTTAGTTTAATATATATATTTTTTAGCAACGTCTTTTAGCGTTGTGGGCGTGTTTGGCGCCGCATTGGAAATTTTCCAGAGCAGCGATTATTTAAATATATCAGCTCTATAAAGCTTTAAAATTATAGACTTTATGGTTCATCAGTGCAGCTTGTTCTATTCTTACAGCTTTCAAGCATTTAACGCCATGTCTTGCACATATGTGTTAAGTTAATTACAGTTTTTATTAGACATTATAAACAATAATATTTCAAGAGACCTTTAATCAATGCTTTAAAGTTGTGAAAGAATTTTTGGAATTTGAAAACATTAAGATAGTATTTTTCATCTCTAAGCTTACAATATAATTTTTTTTCTTATCTTTCAACCATTATAATTATTATCATTTTTATTATTATTATTATTAATATATTAAAAATATTATTATTATTAATATTATTGTTATTATTATTATTATTACTATTATTATTATTATTATTATTATTATTGTTATTATTATTATTATTATTATTATTATTATTATTATTATTATTATTATTATTATTATTATTATTATTATTACTATTATTATTATTATTATTACTATTATTATTATTTTTATTATTATTATTATTATTATTATTATTATTAGTAGTCATTATTGTCATTTCATTGCATTATTAAATATTATTATAAAATAATGTCATCAGATATGGAACGCATTGAAGTAGACATATCTGAACCCATAAAGTATATTTATTCCAGATCAGCGTCAACAGCCGACTTGATAAAGCCATGTCTGTCTGTCCGTCTGTCTGTTTAAATGCGAACTAGTCTCTTGGTATTAGAAGTTCATAATATATATCAAATATCTTCAAGAGTAAAAAATCTTCAGCATGCGGAAGAACTTCGTACTTTATCGTTTCTATTAACTTTTATTGTTAAGGCCTGGAATACAAATGCAAATATTTGTTTGGTATTTCTGAGCCTCCGTAAATTAAATATTACAATACCAATTTTTCTAAGTTTCTAGTAGATTTCTTGACTTGATGTGGACGCTACACAACAAACGAAATTAAATTTTAAATGTTAGCTCACGATATGGGCAATAAAAATCAATTTTATGACGTTCACAGACACAGACAGACAGACAGACAGACAAGTGAGAACTCGTATATTTCATAGATATCGATTAATTAGCAAATATAATATTTTGTTTGTTAAACAATTAGCACATTCGCACTGGCAATAAGTGCATGACACATTAAAATGTGCTCAAGATTTGAGAGGCCCGAAGCAATAGGCTCTACATAGATGGATCGAGAGAACTTCATTCTTATTATATCCATGCGTATAACCGCCCGCTAATTAAGATTGCCGCCAAATCGCAATACGAGAAACTGGTTTCCCATTGTTGTTAATTTTCTTCTATTTTTTATAGATAATGATAATAATGATTGGCCTCATAGTTTGGCCATAACTTTTGCCAAGAACACAGAGCACACAATCCAATTCCTTTTTAGTTAGAATATATTTGTAGCTTTAAGTATTTTGATCTTGGGTTTCTCACCTGAATGCTTTTCACGTTTGTGCTTATCCTTCTCCTGATGTGCCACCTTATTGGGTATATCGCCGGACTGTGTTGTCGGTGAATTTTCACTTTGACCGATGTCCAATGAGTACCAATCCATTCGTCTTTTGCGCGAGCCACTGTCTGAGTAAATTGTCCTCACGTCGATTATTTGGGGTCCTGGCGAATCCTTGGACTGTGCGTCTGCAGTAATACGAACCGAAATCGAATCGAAACGTATCGATTAGCCAATTAACGAATGCGATTGCGAATGCGATTGCGATTGCGATTGTGTTGCTTTTGATGGATGCGATGAGTCTCACGTTGAGTTTGAATATATCGACGCTATCTGTTTATGCAAAACATTCTCTCTCTTACCTGTCCAAGATTCCTCAGAGTTCGGTGGTGAATCAACAAAGTTAATCACTGGCTCATAATCCGATCCAATGTGCTGATGATGATAGCCGCTAATAAAATGACTATTTTGGATCTATAAGCAAAATCGAAGAGAATGACCATTTGAGATTAGAAGGAAATTTGTCGATTTCGCATCATGTAACTATCAGCTCGCAGTCTCTGGGCAACTTTTCAAGTACTCGGCCTACGATTAACGTTTCGAAAACTGAATATGTTTTATTTTTCTTTTTCTTTTCGAAATCGTCTAGCATGAGAGCCGAGGCATTGCCAGGCGCATTATCGCTCAGGTCCTAAACCTTGCTGATAATAAATGTTCTACTAAAATGGACTTGAGCGTATTGTTGTGTGTGTGTGTGTACACTGTACATAGGCTTTATTTTTATTTTCAATTTGTTTTTTTTTTTTTTTTTTTTAAGTGAGAGTTAAGAAAATCGGAAAGTCACACTTTTCTAGAATCGATTGATTGCAAATCGCTCTATATATACTTATATTTACGGATTGAGTGCAGATGAGATTTCATTTGTTTACGCCGCCGCGATTTGTATCTGTGTTGTCTCCGCCTCTCTCTCTGTGTGTGTGTGTGTGTGTGTGTGTGTGCATTTCAGTTCGTTTTATTGCGTTCTCAAAAGATAAGCGTACAGTGTAAATAATAGCCACAAGAGGCGACCTGTCGAATGTGTTTCGTATATGGAGGATTCGATAAGCGGCGAATAAGAAAGTTGTCAGTTTGTACATATTTTTTACTTCCTCTTAATCGAAGCATATAAAAACTGTTTGTGTGGACTGATTGACTGATTGATTGACTGACCGACTGACTGAGTGGCTAATGTGTTAAGGCTAGGAAGTTGCATTCTTGACAATACTTTGCGGATTAAAGTAAACAACGAAACATTCACGAAGGGAAACGGAACGCGTGTGGAATATGGGTGAGAGCGTATGGCACGTGTTAACTTGTGCTCTCCAAGCGCTAGTTAGACGCAATCTAAGGTCGAACAAGTTAACTAAGTTACGTAACATTCGCATTCAATGTTGCTATATGCATTTGTTTGTCTATTTACCTGTCTGTGCCAGTCAATTTGTTATTTGATACCAATTCTATTCTAATTTGATGTATTTACACACAGAGACACACACACACACATACAGCCGCACACGGCGTAATATACACCGTTTGTATATGCATAAGTTCCAATTAAGGGTGGCACTACAAATACTACATAATGAAATGTTTAATCAAATATATAGAGAACTCATGCATATCTGAGGAAGTGACATTTCTAGGACTTTGAATTTTATGCTGCATTTTTTTTATACATTTTTGCGTCAAGCAACAGGAAAACACTTCTAGATACAATTTTATTGCAGGGATACCCCTAATATTTGAGAAAAACAAACTTTATAGTTACAGATTGTGCAGATTAAAAAAAATTAAATAAATAATGAATGGCATTTAATGTGTCACTAATTCTCCTGATTCGAAGCCCATGTATTGTATTTTTATTTTATGTATTTTTTTTTTAATTCAAAGCCCTGTAAAATTGAAAGAAGATTTGAATCTTCTCAAAAATATGAAATTTCTGGAGAATCCATTATTACAAACAACAAATGGTCTATAAATCTATATACTATGATTAGATTTTATGAATCCCAAAGGCCAATGCCATTAGATGAGAATCTAATGCACAATAAATTTCAGGTCTAATGAAGAATTTTATTAATCATATCAAATGCCACAACTTCTTGAGCCTTTTTATTAACAGCCTACAATGATTAAATTTTATGAATCCCAAAGGCCAATGTCATTAGGTTCTCATCTAATGCACAATGAATTTCAGGTCTAATGAAGAATTTTATTAATCATATCAAATGCCACAACTTCTCGAGCCTTTTTATCAACAGCCTACTATGATTAAATTTTATGAATCCCAAAGGCCAATGTCATTAGGTTCTCATCTAATGCACAATGAATTTCAGGTCTAATGAAGAATTTTTTAATCATATCAAATGCCACAACTTCTTGAGCCTTTTTTATTAACAACAGCAGTCTTATATATAAGTATTACGAGTTCTCAAAAATTTGATAACTTACCTGATTAAGATTTTCACCGTTAGTCTGATGCGTATGTATGTTGTTGTTGTTGTTGTTGTTGTTGGTATTGTGGTTGTTGTTATTGTTATTGATGCTACAATTATTACTGTTGTTATTATTGTTATTATTATTATTATTCGGATACTGATTATGGTTTCGATTCAAATTGTTGTTATTGAATTCCATTTGGTCGAAATCGTTGAAAATGTTCAGATCAAATTTCGTTGATGTGCGTGAAGTTGTTTGTTGTTCTTCTTCCTCTTGTTGTTGTTGTTGTGTTGGCAAATGAAGTTGCAATTGTTGCTGTTGTTGTTGTTGTTGTAAATATTGTGGATCAAATATGCTTTGTATATCCAACAGGCCGGAATTTACCGATAGAAACGAAAGCGCCATCCGGTTTAAAAGATAAATTACCTTTTCAATTCTTTTTGATAACCTTCTTCACAATGCACACGAGAATGTTTGTTATAGTTTAACGGAATTTGTATTAATTTCAAATTGTTGTTGCTGGTATTTTCCACAATAACCGTTAGTACGCACGTCTATTTCTTAAGAAACACGGTGTTTTCTAGGGTGCAGCCCCCCCTTCGAGCTTTCGCGTGCAATTTTGTCAAGTTCTTGCCTTATAAATTAGATTATTTTTTTTTTTTTTGGGTTGTTTTTGTTGTAAGCAACAAACAATAATTATTCGAAGTAGAAGGGAATTGTTGAGGTTTTTTAAATGGTTTTTTTTTTAAAGTATTTTATTTAGGTCAACATTTTTGTTTGAAATGTTTATGACAACAAAGAAGAAATGACACTAGTTTTTTTTTTTTCTCTTAGCACAGCACTTGGATTTTGTATACAACTAACAACCAAATAATATCTATAGTGTTTTTTTTTGTTTTTTGTTTTTAACAAATTTGTTTTGTAACTATTTATGCTTTGAATTGATAAAAAATTCGTTGTGCGTTCTTCGGGCGTTCTTCAGAGCTTCGATGCAATTAGAAGAGCACAAAAAACGAATTATATAGTTTCTTGATCCCGGTTGTCTCACGCTGACGATGGCTACGTAGTAGGGTATTTTCAATTTTTAACAGCATTTTGTTACGCAAATACATATAGCTCGATTGCGATTGATATACATTTGACATGCGTTGCAGTCGTATTTCAGATTTCTCCATTTATCGTTAAGTTTCTGTACTTTGGGGGCGGGGCGGTAGCAATGCAGCACAACAGTTCACAGTTAACAGTCGCTGTGGTCTTCTTCTGCTTCGTCTTCTTCTTCTTCTCCTCTCTGTAACTTTCCTCCTTTTTTTCTCAGATTACGAAACGCGTCCGTTTCTCCTCAATTTCGCCTTTTGTGTTGATTATGTATTTGATTCGTTTGGTTTGTTAAACCGCTGTCAGATTTCTGCTGACATTCTAGCGAGCTTGTCTGTTGTATGCACTTTGCGTGAATTAACTGTTATCAAAGCTTTTGCTGCTTGTCGAGTGAACTTTAATTATTGTGTGTCAGATATTTGACATTCTTATTAGGCGGCAAAGCAATTGTTTTTGGCACTTGTACGACCTCACTTATATATTTTGATTTTCTTATGTAAGGTTTTTGTATTATTTGTTTGGTTTTTTTTTTTCTGTTAGTTTGACACTGTCAGAAGGCGCACATTATAACAGTTAGTTTGACAATGAGACAGAGTTCTTGACAAATTTAGCAATCAACTTTTGCATTTGTTTTGTGACTTTACGCACGACGTTTAACAACACTATTTCACACTTTTAGAAAACACAATTAGCTCAGATACTTTTAATATATTTTATATATATATTCAATATTTTTTTTTAGCTTTTGCTGAGACACCGTGAGACACAACTATTCCAGACGCGCTACAGATTTATTCTGCTTAGTCGCTGAGTGTAAAAATCGCTGCAAAGCTTTGCTAATATTTCTTTTTCGGTTTTTTGCTTTTTTTTTTGTTTTTTTTTTTCTGCTGTCGCTGCTTTAAGTTTAATCGCTGCTCACATAGACGAGAGAGTAACAGCTGCTGTCGTTGTATGCGTGTTATTTATAAATGTCTTTCTGTGTGTGTGTGTGTGTGTGTGTGTTGGTAACTGCTTGCTGGTATTGGTGCTCGAAACTGATAAAGTTTTTGAAAGCCTTATTCAGGTTTGCATGTGTGTCGTATATTAGTTTATGTTGGTGTGCGTGAACTGTTATATATGATTTGCTTGTATTAGGTATTTAATTAGAGCCTTTTTTTTAGGTTTTACACACGCATGTTTTTTTTTCCTTTTCGTATTTCGAAACGGGCTTTCGAACTGCAGCGCTAATTATTTAAATTTGCATAATATATTTGTTTAATCGAAAATTTTATGTTTGCTTCGAGCGGTTTTTGTTTGCGCGCGATTTTCAAATATCTGCGATCTATATTTTAAGGTTCATTAACTGTTACACACACGTATTGCGCTTGCTGCCAATTTGAATACTTTATTATTTTTATATTTTTTGAATATATTTATTTGCCGGTTTATTTTTTGCTTTTCGCGCTATAGAAGCACTTTTAATCCGACGAAGCGAGGCTTCGAAAAGCCCAAAGAGACGAGCATTTTGTGTGGCCAGAACCTTGGTCGAGCGGCAACCAACACGGACACGAGGTTAAAATATCAATGAGTTGTGAGAATATTCGCCGTTAGCGGGAAACTACAGATACAGTTTCAGTTTCAGTTCCCGAATTCAACACAAGCCTCAACGCAAAACCGAGCGCGAGCCGACGACGACGACGACAATGATGATCAGCAGAGAAAAAAAGAAGAAGGAAAGCAAAAAAGAAAAAAAACCCCAACTTGTGATTACGACGGACACGGGACGATGAGAGATTGCGACTGCGACTGCGGCGACGGCTGCTGCTGCTGCTGCCGCTTTGGCTGATTGTTGATCAAATTGATTGTCACTTATTGTGTGTGGGGATGCTGCTGCGACTGCGCTGCCGACGCGGACCAATTGAACACAAAGTGCGCGCGCTGCGTTTGGTTTCTATCGTTGTTGTTGTTTGTGTTGTTGCTGCTGCTGCTGCACTGCTCAGCTGTTTTGCACGTTTTCTTATCTGCTCTTATTTTGGTTTACAGCTGTACTCTTTTTTTTTTAATTTCTTTGTGCTTTGGTTTTTTTTTTTTTTATCAAACGCCTTATTTCACTTGCACCCGCTACTGCGCTCACAATACGGAAACAGTGCAGTTATCTCGCTCGCACACACGTGTTGCGCGCTTGACTCTGGCCAACGCGGCGGCGGCTGTTGCGTTTCACTGTGAATGCCGTTGCTCACGACACAATAACAAATTAATTATTTCAAACAGAGCGAAATTTTCCTCGATTTATGTTGATTGCGCGCGTTGTACTTGCAATTGAATTCAATTCAATTGGCATTTATGTATATGCTTGTATGTTCGCACTGTTATATCGATGTGTGCATGTGAACTGCCCACTCAGAAGCTTTCAATGGCTGCCGTTCGCTTCTGTTGTTGCCGTTGTTTTTGTTATTGTTCGCACTTTGGCTGCGCGCGTCGATGACGTATTTCGGCACGCACACGTAATAAAATTGGCAAAGGAAAATTGGGAGAGCCTTCCAAAAAGCGCAAAAACTGTGTTTTGGGCTGCAGCGGCGTCGTCGCTACGCGCGCTAATTAAACTTTTTTCTTTTTGATAAACAAAAAGCGCCGACGTGTTATTGCTGCTGCTGTTGATTGTTGTTGTTGTTGTTGTTATTGCTTGACCGCTTATTAAGCTCGTTGTTGCTGATATTGTTTGGTTATTTAGACTCGCACAAAACTTGTGTTTTAGCCGATGGAAGCGAACGTACTGATTTTGGTGAGCGCACGTCACACGCTAATATAAATTTTAGCTCATGCTCTGCGTTTACCAGCTGACTGACGTTTCGGGCGCTCTCTTTCGCGCTCGCTGCCGTAAGAGCATGGGGCTCTCTGCACACGCACACACCCACACACGCATGTGCATATGCAAATGCTTGCGGAATGATGCAGAAAACAAAAGCCAAGGAAATTGTTATCGCCACGCACTTGACAGAAGAAGCAGACGTCGTCTGCCCAGCTATCTTTGCGTGCCAAAAAACAAAAACACAAAACAACAACATTTATTGGGGCCTGACTTGCGAAATATCGCAAGAATGCTTAATAACAACAAAGAGGCTCAACAGTTGAGCATCTGTTGCGCTTAAGAGCATCAACCAAAAGAGCGGCGACCGCTGCACCTGTCACCAAAAGTGCTTTTTGTGTTGGAGCGCATTGACGTTATTCTCAGTAAAAGCAACGACAGCGATTTTGTTATTTATATGTCAAAATGCATATGAGTCGCCGGGGAGAGGGCGGGGGTGGTGCTTTCAATTTGCGTGCGAATTTACAAATTATGCGCAAGTTCTTGTTGGCCTAAATATGGCGGCGATCAGACGTTAAGTTGTCTGTGCCTAAATATCAACAAAAGCCTAACGGTATATAACTACATCGAAAACTACAGTTAATGAGATTTGTATAACACAATTTGAGCGTTCTACAATTTGATTATCTTCAGTTAATTCACATTTATTATTGCCGTGCCTTGACATTTGTTGTGTATATTTTTTTGGGGGGTTCTTTTCATTCATAAGCCGTGCGGACTTGTGTTAATTGAAAATTTAATTGACAACGGCAATTTTGAAAAGTCGCCAAAATTTTGGCTCTGATCTGTCGTTCAATCAATATATATTGCAAAAAAAAATAAAAAAAAAATTAGGTTTTATCAGTCTGAAGTTATATCTTTTTTCAGCTCTCTCTTTGCACATTCCTTCAATTGATGGCAATGAGCGCAGTCGAATTAAATATTTTTCAATTGTTTTTGAATTGCCGTCAATAGCAAGGTTTCAAGTGAAATTAATTTATTTGCACAATGAAAGTCAAAGACGCAATTCGTTGTAATAAAAATTGTATGTTCACACATATAGATATAGATCAGAAAGCCGTATCTTTCATGTATCAACGGTTAGAAAATATTTTGACGACTTTGATCTTAATTAATTTGCCATGTACAGTTTTTAGTGGCTTCAATTAGCGGCTGTCAAAAAAATGCCTTGCTAATTTATAATAATTAGCACAATTCAGGCCTTTCATTTGGCCATTCATCAATTTGCCTTTGACAATTAAATGTATAAATTAGGTAACGTAAACATGGACACGTGTTGGGCTTCATCAAATATCGAACGTTCTAATAGAGCATATTTATGTTATAAGTTCAATGGAACACAGGTAAAAGGTAAATGTAAAAATTAGCACCGTTCGTGTTACAGCTCAATCGAGTTCATCAACAGTATTTGAACAGCGCGCGCATGCACGCGCGCTTTACAGCACTGCTGCGATTAATATTGCGATAGCCACTAAAAATATCGATAACATTAACAGCAACTGTTCGCACACCAAAACAACAACAGAGCCAAACGCGTTTACAAAAACGACGCCGATTTATAAGATATATAATGGAATTGTCGCCCATTAATCAAATTGAGGACAGAAAACCAACACTAACTGCTGACGGCCTGGTGCAAACATCAAATTCCCCATTTGAGCCCACAGCAGCAGCAACAACAACGACAACAACAGCAGCAGCAGCCGCCGCCGCAACAGCAACAGCAGCAACAACAACAACAACAACCGTTTCACAGGAGACGCAAACATCGAACGGCATCGGCATCGGCGGCCCGTTGACAGTTGACCAGCTTGACATCGAAATATTGCCGATCATCTACGATATTGTGCGCTGGTGTGTGTGTGTGTGTGTGTGTGTGTGTTTGCAACCAACTGTTTTGCTTGCCAAAATATATAAATTTTGTTGAAATATGCAGCGTCAACTGCGCAGCTAACAAAATTCATTTAACTTATATAACAACAAATATTTTTCTCTTGGCCCGCAGCGTGGAAAAGGATCCCCTCGAGAACGCTGTAAAGCTGCGCGAGTCACAGGACTGCAATCACAAGGTAAGCAACGGCCAAGACAACATGAAGCCTATCCTTATATGCAACATTTTGCAGATCTTTGAGCTGCAAAAGCGCTTCGATTCGGCGCGCGAGCAAATAAAACAGCTGCCGGGCATCGATTACAACAAGGAGGAGCAACTGCAGCGCCTGGAACTGTTGCGCAGTCAGCTGAAGCTGAAGCAGCAGCTCATACGCAAATACAAGGATACGGAGTTCTAGGATACACACTCACACACACACTGACAGGATGGTGCTGCGACTGCTGATGCGCTATTTGGCCAACAATGAGCAGCTAATACAGCGCATGGCCGACAGCTATCCGATGCGACGCGCCGCCCAGTTGGTTGTCTCGCTGATGTATCGCTCCAAGAGCCTGGCCAGGGAGCAGGGCCTGCACGAGATGACGCCAGAGCGCTTTAAGTGGGTCTAACAAGCCAAAAATAAAAAAGGCACACAATAATCTTACCTTTTCCAGGTCCTTTGTGAAGATGTTTAAAAACAATGTACAGCAGGAGCTGGAGGGCGTCAAACGGCAGCTGAAGAATAAGAAAAATAACTAAATTATTGTAAATTACATTATAGATATATTTATAGGCTAGCAACTTCAGGCACATAAACAAAATTTCAAGAGCAAACGAAACTTATTTGAGGAATATCCAATTGAAATGTGGCAGCGTTTTACAACACTGACCGCACGCTGCACAGCGTTGCCAACTGCCTTGCAGGAAATTATGTTTGCTTTAAAATTTGGGTTTTAATTCCAAGAATTCTGCGATTTTGTAGTTTTTCAAACTGTAAATTTATTATGCAATTCAAATACGTTTCAACGTAATTCTATGCTACAAAAGAAATGTAATTAGCGAAATGAAAGTGGATAAAATCAATCATTTTTTTTCGCAGTGTATAAAGCTTGAAAAATAAAATAAGTTGAATTTGGCAAATTTTCTTTTAACGCTTAGTTAAACTAAATTGTTGGCGCTAAATCTTGACATTGGACGAAAACAAAAATTAGACATTTATTAGCAAATTTACACACAATTACACACAGCATACAAAGTCGTCTTACCGCGTGTTACCTGTAGCAAAATAGTTTCACTCTCTCTCTCTCTCTTCGTTTTGTTTCTCAGACAATTCTAAGTTTCTCTTAAATATCAACACGGCCGCGCACTTGCCGCACAACCTTTTCGCCAAAATACTTTGGAGCAGCTTAACAACTATCGAATTTTGTATACAAAATACGTTCTTTCTATCGTTTTTCCGTTAAAACATTTGTCGTTTAAAATACGGTTTTTTTTCTTAGTTTTGTGTCGCCTCTGGCAACGTCTCCGCATGGGATGCGCTGCTGCTGCCATTCAGTGGCGCCGCGGAGCCGGTCGGCTGAGTGCGATTGTTGCGTTTCCGCTTGCCGCCGCGCCGACTGCCCTCGCGCCGCTCGCCGTTCTGCTCGCCGCCATCCTTGCTGCAGCCGGCCGCTGAGCCCGACGCGGAGGAGCCCTGCCCGTTGTGGCGCTGCTGATTGTGGCTGCTGTTGCTGCCGGTGCCGTTGTGGGCGCGCGATTGCATCTTGGCCGGCTTGGGCCGGTATGGCGAGGCGGCTGCATGCGGCATGGGCTGGAGTATGTTGCCGACGGCCTTGGTGCGACCCTCGCGAAAGACGAGACGCTGGCCGGCGCGTATGTACTCCGGCTGCTTGATGAAACGGAACTTGACGCGCGCCTTGTCGCCGGTGCGCAGGCAATCGCAGGACATGCGCACTATCGATGCCGTTTGGCGTATGCTGCCGCAGTGCACCATGGCCTGGTAGCGTGCCGAGATCGTTGTGGGATGATGCAGCACCAGGATTTCGCCCTCGAATTCCCAGCATGCCTGCGGCTTTAGTTCCGGCGATACCATGACCATGCCCTTGCGCAAATATGCACGCTTTATCTTCTTCAGTGCAAAGCTGGCCGTCTGTCCGCAGCGCACGCGCTCCACATTCATGCGCTTGCGATGGATGCTCTTGATGGTGATGGGCACAAAGGTGCCCACTGCATTGGGGCCCAGCATAAGCACATCGTTCAGCTTGATGGTGCCCTGCAGACAGGTGCCGGAGACGACGGTGCCGACGCCCGGCACCGAGTAGACATCGTCGATTTGGAACTCCGCTGGCAGATTCTCGGAGCCGGCCATGCGTGTGCTCAGCAGATTGAGGAACATTTTCAGCAGCTCCAGATTGTCGCCATTCACATTGGACACCTGGAAGATGGGACACAGGCGTTCGCTGACAAAATTCGTGGCACTCAGCACCACATCGTCCTGGCTGCGCACCACCACCGGCACCTTGCGGCAGCCCTGTGATTTGAGCATTTTAAAGAGCAGCTTCATATTGTCCTGTAGCACATTCGGCGGGCACATGTCGATCTTGGTGACGACAACAAAGACAGGTACGGCAAGGGCCAGTGCGAGGCCCAGATGCTCCTTGGTCATGCCAATAATGCCCGCGTTGGCGCCGATCTAAATGAATTCCGGGAGTTTAATATATACACGCACACATATATAAAGAATGTAAGCCCACCATCAGCATGCCAAAGTCTGGGGCATGGCCCGTCATGCCAAACACTGTGGTCTTCAGGTAACGCTCGTGCCCCGCCAGATCTATGAAGGTAATGACCTTTGATGACTTCTCGCATATCTTTACCCAATCCAGATGGCCATGATCCGGTTTATTGACCACATTGCCGACGCCGTCAAAGCCGAGTATGTCATTGCCCACGGAGCTAGTGCGTCCACTTTCGATCTCGTGCTTGTGCCGAAATAGTCGCTGTCGCGCATGACCACGCCCATTGTCCAGTTCACCATGCGTTAGAACGCCCAACAGTGTCGATTTGCCAGCATCCACATTGCCCACGACCGCAACGCTGTGCGCATAAATATCAAATCAGATCGGTTAGAATTATGTGGCTGCTGCAGTGCATCCAAGTAAAGCTCTCACCGTATCTCCATAAAGTCCGTCGTGTCGATATGCTTGCGTATGAGAAACTGCGCCGTTTTGCCCTTCTCCGCAGCCCGTTCGCGCAGGCTAACCAGATCCGCATCTATGGCTGAGGCCAGCTGGCGCAGCGTCTGCACCGAGGCCTCGAACTGCTCCGCGTTCAGGCCGCTATCCTGACCATCTGTGAATGGATGTGTGATCAGCTTTAGTTTGAAGCTATTCATACGTTAAGGATTAGTCACCTTCGCCCACGCCTATTTCGTAGATGGTCTCGCCGCAGCTGTCCGCGATGCGATCGAGCAGCCGTCGCTTGAGCAGCTGCAGCTGCGACTCTGTCGGCTCCACGAGCACATCCTTGGCCCGTATGCTCGAGTAGTCGATGCTCAGCTCTTGCAGCTGCTGTGTGGGCAGGCCGTCCACGGTGAAGATATTGCTGCGTGCGCTCTTGATGCCCACGCCCACATTAATGGGCGGCGCTGTTGGACTCTGTATATTGTTCATGATTGGGTGTCTATCTAAGCTTGGCGTACTCTATATCCTTGGAATCATTTCCCGACTGTGTATGTGTGTGTGTCTGTGTGTGTGCACGTTCTGCAAGATCAAGCGAGAAAGTAAAACAATTTAGTAAATATTTCTATTTAGCTATGAACAGTTATTTATTTTCGTCCTAACCTATCCCACGCCCATTTGCCTTAGTCGAGTTTGGAGCGATGTGCGCTCTGTTTGCATTTCGCTGATGAAATAAGAGGAGCTACGCGAGCGGCTGCGCTTTTATACAAATTGCTGACGAAACGCTGTTAACGGTATGATGCAATGATGCGTGCAGAAACTTGCTTGCAAGCAGAGTTGTTGAGTGGAAGGGAGAGAGCAGAAGGAAGCGCCAGCAATTTCATTCGAGTGCGAAAAGGACAAAAAAAATATTTCACCAGAAGAGCTCGTGGTTTAATAATAATGCGAAATAGCCGAAACAGTGATCGAAAGAGAGAGAGAGCGTGTGAGAGCGGAAGCGCTCGCAGTTGCATTCGAATGCGAAATAACCGTTACTGCAATCGCTGCAGACAGAGCGACGACATTGACAAGAACAAGAGCCAGCTGCTGGGAGCAATTGGCAAACAGCTGTTAGCACAAGAAGCTGACAGCTCAGTGCGGGCGCGGGGAATTCTTAGCGTGTACATGTATGTGTGTGCGTGTGTGTGTGTGCTTTTGCTATTTGGCAAAGCATAAGACGCGGTTTGTTTGTTTGTTTTCATTTTTGTCCTTTTTTTTTGGTTCTCTTTCGCTGTGTTTATGTAAGCATTTTTTGTTGACGTACACAAAAAGCACAAACATTGTTGTTGCACTTTCATTAGCCGTTTTAATTTTCTTTCAAAACAAAAAAATGCCAAAACAATTTATTTTTAGCGCCCACACATTTGTACGTGTATGTGTGTGTATGAATGCATGCAAATTATTATATGTAAAGCCAAACAATAGTTTCTGCTGCTGTTGTGCTTTTTGGTTGTTGTCTTGCAAAATGGCAACAATTGAATAACAAACACTAAATTAGCTGCGTAAGATTTGATGCCATGTTAATGCACTTGAAAATCAGCTACGTGGGTGCAACTGCGAATTGCAATTGAAAAGTGAAAGGGTTGTTTTGTTGATCCCAGGAACTCCTGTTGCAGCGCAGCGGGCACTGGCTCTTGTAACTGCACATAAACCCCCGCCAAGTTTTTATATTTAGCAGTTACTTACAGTTCATACGGCTCTTTGTATTTGTTGCTTTGTTTGTACTTGCACTATGCACATTGATTTGCTAGAGCTGCATTCACAAATATTACATTCAAATATACATAATTAGTAAAATGCCTACGAATTGTTTTTCGTCCGTCCAAGCCACGTAAAATTTTGTAGCGTTGCCAGCGCGCCAACATACACAGTGGCAGCTCTGTGCCGGAATTATCGATAGCGATGTTTGGTTGCCGATAAACGTTATCGCAAAAAGCGGAAAATTTTTAATTTAATAAAAGGGGAAATCGTTTTGCTTATAAAAAAAAAAAAAACAATAATGTTAAGCTATGCAAGCAATTAATCAGCTTATTTCATAGTCTTGTGATTAACTAAACATGACAGCATTCTGTTGCGGTTGTTTTTTAAATGGCCTTGCACTATTTGATAAGCGCTAACCGCATTAATATTTGCTGGAAACTTCGGAATTATTTAAAAAGCGTGTATTTTGTAATGAAACGAACGTGATTCACGGCGATTTGTAGTATTAGAACAAAAACAATACGCCCAACACACACAACCACATACGTACAAGCATACATACAATTATTTGCATGTGTATGTATGAAGTGCGCAAATATAGTTTTCACCTTTGCATTTTTGCTCACTTTATTATGTCGTTATGTACACAATTCCCTGATAACTTGCAACCATTTGACTTGTGTACAATTAATATTGCCATTTGAATGTAAAGCAACGCAATTGCCATTTAAATTCACTGTTCTTTAAACTTGCAAGCAGCTGTGCACAGCTTAAGCCGAAAATTTCAATGTCAACAAGTTTTTTTTTTTTTTTCTGTCTGCCGCGTGCTAACGCTTCTTCTTGCTTGCAGACCAGCCCGCTCCCCTCCCCCCCTCCAGTACAAAAGCCGTTGCTAGGCATAAGGTTGGACATACGCACACACACACACTCGCATTCAATAACCGCACACCGAGATGTAAATATAGATATGAGTGTGTGCGTGCCGGGGTAGCATGAGTTATGCAAGCCAGAAATAAATCCCTTACGATATGAATGAGTTTTATTTTTTGTTTTTTACAGTTCTTTTTTAATGTATGTATGATAGTCTAAAAAAATAGTTTACAAATTATAAAAAGTGTTTTCAACAATTTTGGTACAATTTATCGTGTTGCATCATTCGTGTGTGATTTCATCCAAAAGACGTTTCATGAATATATATATATATATATGTATGTGGATCCAAGTTTGGGACTTTGGGGCGGGCGGGCGACAAAAATCAAGTTTTGAACATTGTTCTTGGGGTGTCGAGCATCATCTGCCTTCTCCTAAACACATAGACCTACTATGTAATGCTCACAGTTCGGGAGGGGAAAAAGTAATGCTAATGCTAAAAATATATTTAACACGCTCTCATCAAATGGTTGCTGCTGCTCCCGCGCACACAACTGGCAATGACTTTTTCTGGAGTGTTTGTCGTCGTCGTCGTCCATCACTTTGAATATATTCATTCACAATATACACATACTATTTGGGAAAACTGTAAAACTATGGATTTGTATATATATATATATGTAGTATATATGTAATGTTTTGTATGTAGTTGTTGTTGCGGGTGGCTAAACAAGGGACTGCGTTAATTTGATGTCAGTGGAAACGGGCTTGTTTTTTTTTTTTTTTTTTTTTTTTGTGTGGTGGAAACGTGCTTTAATCGCTTTGCAAATACATATTATTGTGTTTTACATATTTTGATGTTGCTTTCGCAATGTCGCTCAGGCGCGCTTCCAACAATAACTAAAATATTATTTGTTTGTGTTTAAGTTTTGAAAATACCCTTAATATATTAATATAATTATTATATTTTATGTGTGTTCTGTTCTCAGCGCTCACTTGGGATGCCTTTATTTTGTATAGTAATTAGTTGTGTGTGTGTGTGTGTGTGTGTGTGTAGCATGACCCCCATTTGAAAGAAGTAGTTGTATGTTTTCGTCCACTTGCTTCTACTTCTGTTCGTTTGTATGTGTGTTTTCTTTTTAATGTGTATGTGTGTGTGTGTGTTATGTGTTTTGGGTTTGGTTGTGGTTTAGGCAGATGCCGCAACTTCACCAGATTTCTTGGCCTGCTCAGCACTGGCACCGGCAATGGCCACCTCCTCAAAGTTCTCGACCAGATCGGGTACATCATCATCGCCAGCATCCGCAGCTGCGCCAGCGCCGGCAGCAGCACCACCAGCAGCACTGCTCTTATTGGCAATCTCTGATGCGATCTTCTTTAGCTGATTGATGTCCTGGGGACCCAATTGCGTCAATATGCCGGGCAGCATTTCGGAGATCGTCTTGTTCTCGCCATGACCGGTTATGGCGAACGTGTTCGTTGGCAGCGATGCCTGCGCCTTCGGATTGTTAAAATGGATGACGGTGCCATCATTTTTGATAATGTTCACTTCCTCAATACCGGGTATGGTATTGACCGAAAGTTTTTTCAACGATGATTGCAACTTCTTGTCGTCGGTTGCCGGGGTCGAGTGCACAATCTTCTTCTTGCGGCGTGGGGTACCCTTGCCGCCAATGCGCACCTGCGCCTGCAATTTCTTAAGCTTCTCTGGATTCATTCTGTAAGACACACGCAGCACGCACAATAGCCAAAAATGAAGCAATTTTTAAGTTGCGATTAATTTGAGTTTGTGTATATTGAAATTTGATGTTGAAATTACTTTGATTTTACTATAATTTAGCACAGAGCTAAGCCCGAAAAACACGTGCGCCCAGTTGTAGTCAAATGTCAAAAAGAAATCGCCATGATAAAAATGGCAAAGCAGTATGTATAAGTGTATAGTATTGTTAACAAACACTAAACTCGGTGTTTGCTATCGATAACATGCACAAAATGCCAATTAAACGCTAAGTTCTTTGATGATTTCCATCTAAAAAATACACAAAAATTCAAATTTTAATCATTTTAAATATGCCAATATCTTGTTTTCTTGATTTGCGCTCAAACTTTTGCGTTTTATGTGCGCAACGATGTGCCCGGCAGCTATCGATAGGCAACAGCTGTTTTTGTGCGCATTAAACACAGCGCCACTGTGCAGTGCTGTTAAACGCCATACAGAAGCTGGCTATTTTAGGCAGGGCAGCGCTGTTAACCGACGACGAGGAGTTAAGATTAGTAATCATTTTCCCAATTTGATAAGATAACGCGTATTATACAGTTGATTTAATTAAAGCAACTCGCCGTGCTTTTGTGCGCTACGTTTTGTAAGCTTTGCACGTGTGTGAATTACAGTACAGTGCGTCGAACACAATCGTAACAACTGCAACAAGTGGAAGCTAACTAATTATTTATTGAAAACAATATTTGCCAGAACCGCCTGTTGTGCTGACAATAAGGCATTAAACGTGAGTTCGTATGCAAATGCAATTTGTGCCTTGGCATTTGAATTAATAAAGATTTGCTCAATTTTCCAGTGGATAGCCTCGACGATTTCGACGATTGGGACGATTTTGCAATGGATTTCTGGGGCATTTTCATGTTCTTCCTATTGACGTTTCTCGTCATGAGCTGCTGTGGCTACTGCTGCACGAGCAAACGTCGCGGCACAGTGCTCTCAAGTAAGTAATCCACATCTTTTCTAATCCCAACGTTCGCTATGACTCACGTTCGGCCCTCTTGTCAGGGGAAGTACACATATGCACAAATGCCCACACACATATAGTATATCTATATATATATACATATATATATCATGTTCGCACTTTAATAACTTTGTGACTAATAATATTTTCCTTTTAATTAAGTTGCGCATATTGCTTGCAATGCTCGAATGTCAAGTTCAATTAGTTCTTTTACTCACGTTTACTTGAATTGTTGTTTTTCTTCTTATTCACGCATTTTCTTTGACACGCTCTTTCGTAAACAAAACACTTGTTTGCCCGAAATTATAATCGAAGTACATATATTTATATAAAGAATTATTCATATATGTATATATATATATATATATATATATATATAAATGTCACCGGGCAAAAGCCTAACAATTATCTAATTATTGATTTTTATCTTATCTAAAGATTTTAGTTTAGCTGTCATTTTGACGCCTGATATTGCCCATGAACTTTTTCTTTGCTGCATTTTAGTTACTCTAAAATTCACCTGAAATTTAATATCAAAATACACAAAGCGCATAGAGTCTACACGAACAGACTCTGAATGCCTTCAGGTTGTGCGCGACAGAGCTGAAATTCCTTTGTCCCAACACATTCGTATTCCTTTGACTTATTCCAGACACCCTTTAAGCCTACCAGAGGGTAAAGGTTAATTGAAGCTGACATGGCCACAATTCTGTCATTCATAAAACTAAGCTCATACAATCAAAGAATATCTATATCTATATAATATATCTTTTAATGCCTAATATGTATTTATTTATTTGTAAACTTTGCTTCTGATAAGTGCTAAACTTCCGCTTGAGTTTACCCTGGAAATTGGCTGCTAAAGAGTTAATCTTTTGGGTTAGCTTGTTTTAGATGATATATTTAATTTGAATATATCTCGTTTGGAATGTTTATTTAAAGAAAAAGACGAGAATATTATATGATGGAAATATTAGATTTCGTCAAAGATAATCGGAAATACAAATATTTTGCAAATAAATTTGAGTGAAGTTTTTACAAAAGCATTTTATGATTTCACCTGCCGCCGAGTTAATAATAATACAAATACGATTAGGAATTACGTGATCAAGTGGAAATCAATATAAGTAATAAATTATGTATTATTACTATATTATTTCGCCGCTTATCATTGGCCATATGCAGCGAGAATTGTAGGGCAGCTATATATTAATATATAGAATTTTAGATAATAAATTTGCACGAGGATTTTTTTTTTGCTGTTGTCTGATTGTCTTTTTTCTTTGTTATAGATAAATTGAAATCGAATTTGAAGCATAAGTTAAATATGAAGAATACTCCTCAGTTAACGCGAAACATTCGAACACTGTTAAGGTCGGGCGCGGGTTCAAATCCCAGCTGTGTGTTCTTCAATATGGTTTTCATATATTGCGCAGTTTGGATACCACTTTTGGTCATATTCTGTGTGTGTTTCTTTATTGTTGTATTCCGGTTAGTTCAGGCACGTCGCATTCGCTTGCAGGCAGCTACAGTGATCACTGGCGGTAAGCGAACACTCTAACAAAGTAAAAAGCTCGCTTGAAAGCGTCGTAGATAGCGTCAGCTTTTGAAGTTGCGATGAATTCAGTTTGGCATACATTGAAATCTTATCGTTGACATGACACAAATAATTATTCTTGTCATTTGCATTGCTATTCAGATTATTAACTTATAATCACTGAAACTCTTGTGTTTTGTGTTGAATTTCGCATTTAAATTGTCTTCCCTTTCGCCTGGCTCGTAGATTGACGTCAGTCCAGGTCTGAATCTCAAGATCGAAATAACGCCACTTGCTGGCAAATCGGTTTAGCTTCCTTTAAATATAGAATTCATGCGAAAAGATTTGCGTGCTTTCTTAAGTATCGCAATTAGTTTGATGTCTAACTAATGCTAATCACAAGCCTATACACTAGCCTTCATTATGATAATTGGCATGTACTTGACTTTGGTCTTTTATTGTTCACATATTATTTGCGTTCAATTCTTGAATACCCTTCACAAGGTTAAAATCAATATGTATTATGGCATTCACAGTAGAGTTCTTTATATAATATAATGTTGGATCAAGATATATGGGTTTTCTATGCGAACTAGTCTAAAAAGGATCTGTCGAAATTTAAGTACTATTATGAAAAACTTTCAAGATATATTGACCAAACTAGAGCTTATACTATGCTCTTCATATATATGCAAAATCTTATCAAGATCGCACCAGAATATCATAAATCTGCCATCGGAACGATCGGTCCGAAAGTAGGTTCTTGTATGGAAAACTTTATCAAGATATCTTGACCAAACTCCGTTTTTATATGATCCACATACAACACATAGCCAAATCTCATTAAACTTGGAATACTATATCATATACTTCCCATACAAACGATCTATCTAAAAATTTAGTTTTTGTGTGGGTAACTTTTTTTCTAATCAAGATATCTTGACCAAACTCGGCATTTATAAGCTCAGCAATGCTGCTTATATGTAAGTCATTATCACATTGGTATATTATATAGCACTATAGGAAGAATCGTTCAAAAAATTGGATTACTATATTGCCTACAAGGGTATTAAGTATTCGGCGCACCGAAGTTATGCTTACTTTCCCGTAATATTCGACATGCAAAAATATATCCTTACTTTCTTGTTTCTCTTATTATTCACATAGAAATTGAGTTCAATTCCTGAACTTCTTCAAATCAATATTTTTATTGTCATTCACAATAGAGTTGTTTATAAACATATTTCTTTGCTCCTTGTCTTTAAACTAACCCACTTAACTTGGCGACTTTGGGGCTGACATTCACAAAGTTGGGAAGAGGGCTTTTAAATTGTATTCAAATTGTTTTCGAATTGGATAACATGATATAACTCCAGTATAGCACATATATATATATATATATATATTAATGATTTTCCTTTAAATTTGTTCATTCGCCATTTCTGGTGTTTTGATTTATTCTCGATACGTGTAATTGATTAATTATGTACTTATGTTAATCATCGTTGACGTCAGTAGACGCTGCGATTTTTGTATTTTTTGTGGTAATCCACATAAATAATAATGATTATCGCTGGCGATACGAGATGGTCAAGGTTTCAATTCAAATCGATTCCATTAAGGAATCTAATTGGCTGACATATATATATTTTTTTTTTTTTTGGTCAAACAGAAAAGTAAGTTTCGCATAATATAATCGTCGGCCGATTGACGCAAAACGCTGTTGTAAATTCTGTGTCCACTTTAGTATTTTATAGTCAACTGCGTATTGGTTTGTGAATAGGTATCATAATCAGTTATATTTTTCTTTTCGCTTTTATAAGCCGTGACGTCACAAGCGTCTACTTGGCTTGCCATATCTTATCTATGGCCGTTGCTTCAAGCCCAGTTAACAAGCGAATACCTTAAAACCAGCCATAAGCACGCATGCGGCATTATTTACCGCCAAGCCTTAAAGAAATGCACAACGCGTAGCCTTCAAGCGCATATTTTGACTCAATATCAAATGCATTAAATTCGAATTTATAGTTCTTAAAGTATTTATTCAAATAAATCAAAAACACAAACAATAACACAATGGCGCACGAGCCCACCGAAAAGGATCTGGAAATCTCAACCATAGTCCTCATCTGTCTATTTGCCATTGTTCTCGTGGCCATTCTGACGGTCATCGTACGGAGCATCTCTCGGAAGCGTAAACAGCGTTCCGGTTACTTCATCGATAATTGTTAGTAGCACGACTGATCTGTAATTTGTTTAAACGCCATAAAAAAGTTATATTAGTTTCGTGCTGTTGGCACATAAGTCATACTATTAATTTTAGGCTAGCTTTGGATTCGAATTCGCGGCTTCTCTTGTTAAATAAATATTTGTGAAGCTTTAACAGAAGACTTTAAAGATTTTATTACCTTTGTGTTTTGTTCGTGCAAGTGAACTCTTTAAAGCTATGAAAAATTTCATTTGTGCTGTTTAAATAATGTAAAATCTCAAGGAAATTTTCAACATCCAATATCTCAGTTAATTGGCGGTATTCATGCGAGGAAGAACCTTGTTTTGCTGCCACACCCGGAAGAGGAAGAGAAAGGATTGGTATCGCTCCTCACAGTGAGAAAATGATGTCCAAGAACATGGCGTAAACTCTTCCAGTTGTTGTTCACTTCAATTGGATTCTATTCCATGCAACAGTGTTTCATCTTTCCGATCACCAATCCTTAACTGTTTGGAGTTGCTGTGATGAGGCCTGATCAGAAGTTCATAATCTGAAGCCCGCAGAACTTGTTCCGTCCTGTTTTTTGGTTGCGTCCTTTCTGGGTTTTCAGCCAAACTAAGCTAAAAGAGACAACCAAACAGTTGTTTCTTCAATTGGTATCTGCGGGGGCGTGGATTGACGCCTAAATTCCTATAATAGGAACCGTGAGGGTAAGCCTTTGTGGCAGATGCTCACGTTAAGCCCATCGACTTTAAGGCCCCAGCCGAGCTTCTTGGTTGCATTAGTTAAGTTTCATTTAGTAAAGAATGCTTTCAATTGATGTTCATCAATATTACATTGTGATCAAACTTATGACTTATTTACTCAAATATAATATATATATACGCAAATTAGTTTGAAATATAATATAATGCATTTACATACCATCAGTCTGATATATATTATTGCACTTCAATTTTCAAGAACATACAAAAAATTGCCAAAAAAAAAACCTTTTAAATACTCAATGTATTTTTATTATGGGGGATTTATTGAAGGTCAACAAAACGAGTATCTAGTCAACTATTTAATATGTTAAAATTAAACGAGTGTCAACCCAAGTATTTGAAAAATAGTAATAGAAATTGATTTGAAATACCAACAAAACTTCATATGACTGTAAAGTTTTTTAACTGCGTGCTTTGAATTGCTTAAAGCAGACTTTTTTTTTTTAAGAAAACTAAACAGATC